AGAATTTCAGAGCCTCTAAATTGAAAATGGTTTCCTGCTACATTTAACCTCATCAAAGTGGACCCACTTACATTCTATGAAGAAGTTTAGATAAAAAGATAATAGGGCAAAAACGTCCATTTAACTTTTATAGTCAAGAGCTAAGCAACAGTCATATATCCAAGAAGAAAAATTTGGATTTAACGGTGGCAAAATCCCAAATGCTTTCTGTAATACAGGTAAGTGACAATCCCTGAAAAATGTTAGGGATTTTTAAATTAAATATATTAAATAAAACTTGGATTATGTCAGGTTAATTTGATGCACATTTCAGGCTGCCCTGTCTTCACTGTAACTTGTGAAAGGAGAAGGGGTGAAATATTACTTTTTCAGGGATATTTTGAGCCAGAATTTACTTCCCTGGAAAACAAGACCAAAGAGTACCTCTCCACTTGGCACCTGAGCAGAATTTACATTATGCGCCTGTGGATCTCTGTGCCATGGAGTCACTAAAAACAACCCAGAAGTCCTGAAGTGTTCAATTTCTACAGCAAGCTTGTGGCCCCAAAGCAGGTTGCTTGCGAGGGCTCTATTTAGAAGCAAGCTCAGCAAAAATTTCTTTTCTCCCACTGGCTCAATTTACCAGCAAGCTGTAAGAGGCTCAAGGACAGTTAAAGTCTTGGTAAATAAGAGTGTAGTAAGAAGAACTAAAATAAAGTTTTTAAGATCCCTTAAAGAAGCTTGATTTGGATATTCAGGGAAAAACAAAATTTGCTCCTGAAGTACTGGAAAAAGAAAGTATGTGATAGACTGTTGTTGCTGTTTTAGTTGAGTTGACAATTTTTAGAGGACTCTTAAAGCGGACCTACTCAGGTGGAAAGACGTTCTATCACATCACAGTGGCTGCTATTGAACAGCTATAATAAAAATAAGCATAGGAAATAAAAGTGACTTCATAGCATGCCCTAGTAACTTTGGTAAAGTCATGTTTTAATGGCAATCACTTGAGACTTTCTAAGTGTCTAAGAAGGACAACTTGGGACGAATCTTTAGAAGGATTCTCAAAGCTCAGAAGACACCCTTGGAGTTAAGGGAAGAGAAAATAAAAAGAAACCTGGTCAAATGGTGTGCTTTTGCCATAGGGACCTCTGGCTCCTGGCGACTGTGGAGCGGCCTGGGTAGAGGGTTTATTGCTAGATCGTTCTTCTGCTTCTTTCTGTCCGTCAGCACACTCAGAGTCCTTGGAAGGCATTTGCTCGCCACTGCACATAAAGGAAGAAATGAAACTGAGGGTCTGTTTTTGAAAACACATCCAGTGACAGAAATAATTCCCTCTCTCCTAGCTCCCACCATGGCATTTTAGACTGCAAGCTCTCCAGGGCCAGGAGTATACTTTTACTGTATGTGCACACAGCACCTTGCACAACGGGGCCTCGATACTGACCGAGGTCTCTTGGCATCATTTCAGAAGCCAAGCTGTCAGCACTGAGGGTCTTCAAAACTTTACCAACTAAAGTTGTGCTGCAGTTCACAGGACTTGCAACATCAAATTACCTGCTTTCCCTTTTCTCTTTCTGAATACCTCCTTGCTCATCATCATCGCTGAAGTTCAACTGCTCAGTGTAATCGACCTCACTCTGAGCACCTATCATATGAGCAAAAATATCGATTAATATATTACAAGTATTCAGTGTGCAAAAAGCAAGAGTCTTTGTTGGTTCACTATTCTCACCAGCCCAGCCTTCATCAGCCTCGGCATCCAGATTATCAAATTTGTCAAGTTCCTTGAGTTCACTAGCACTAAGGATGGACGGACGCTCAACTGGTTCTGAGCACCAAGAGGGCCCTCTTCCCCGTGGGCCTCTGAAACAAAGGAAGAATGCAAACAGAAAATCAGCTTATCCCGCAATATCTGCTGCCCCAAGATAGTAGTGAAGATTTTTAGAGTCGCTACATAGAAGGTTACTTTGTAGTTGAAATAGACTATTTCAAGCATACTGGTTACTGATTAGAAGAACACAGTTTATAGTACTAAACCATGTTTAGCACATTCAATACTATTTTATGTACAATTACTGATTATTCACTCAGTGTTA